CTGTCCTGCTGTTCGACCCACAGTTATATAAATCATGTTCTGGATGCAGGTCAGCTTCATATCATCCGTTTACTGAACTTTATGACAACATAAACACTATTGTTAAGTGTTGGGTGACCATATTGTAAATTAATATTAAAAACTAAAAGCTGCAAAAAATATATTTTTAAACTATTTATTGTCAAATTTAGTCTAATAATTGAAAACATGGATGAAATAAGAAATATGAAACAAATAAAATAAAACACATACAAAGCAGAACAGAGCTAAATGTATCAGAAGTATGTCTATGTAATRTTAGAATTTTCTGAGACAATGAATTTTGGTTTTTCGTTGTTTTTTTCCCAGTAAGAAGTTTTTATTTAATAGAATTTTTGGACCAAAAATATCGCAAAATATCGCCTTGTTTACAGTATTGAAATATATCAGGACATATCGTATCGTGACCCCTGTGTCATGATATGTACCGTATCGCCAAATTCTTGCCAATACACAGGCCTAATAGTGACAGTAACAGAGCTTGGTTTGATGCAGGAGTCGTCCAGGATGCATCTCCCCCCTCCCTCCTCCCCGGTGTGAAACGCAGCTCTACGTCATTCAGTTAGCAGCCTGCCTGTGGGAGAAGATGGCTCTGATCACTGGCTGCAACACAGGAAAACATCCCGCTGCACCGCTTCCTGACACGAAGGGAGAAGCAGGCAGCTCCTCCACAACACACCTTCATGCTTCTTTTGCATCCTCCTCCTCCTCCTCCTCMTCATCATCCTCATCTTAGATGCAGAAACAAACAGCATCTCTTCCCTGAGATGACCTACATGTAATCATTGCAAAGACTGAAGCATCAGAAGCAGAATCCCCCCTGGTGGGAAGTCAACCTGCTGCCACGAACAAACAGCTTAAACCAGGGAAAATTACAAACATGCAACAAAAACAAAACCTTTGTAGGGATGAAGCTTTGCTCTAAATATAGACACCGTGTCGTGTGTACACAGTGTGGGGAACACCCTGAATGCATTACTAACCACCAACAATCACCATTATAATCCTCAATAATCTGAAAACTACTCTGCATTAAATATTTAACAAATGCTCTAAAACCTGGAGTACTCTGAGTATTTGTGCATACTGTGCCACCTGCCACACAAAGAATAAAAAATCAGAAAGTGTTGAGCAGAAATGAACTGAAACATTGTCTSGACAGTGGGTAAATCCCGCAGCTTTTTACGCACCACAGAGTGATATCTCGGTGATTCTTCCTGCAAAAAAACAGAACAAAAAGTACAATTGTAGCCAAAACTGTTCAGCAATTCTGACTGTTTTCGCTGAAGTCACTACAAAGTTACGTTTTTCTAGCCAACTGGCGATTTTTTAAAATATTTTTTTAATGAAAGGCAGGCTGGTGGTTCTCATAAATAACCCAGAACCCGTGCAGAGAATAGTTAGAAACCAGCAGCCAGTCAGCCTTGTTGAAAGCTAACGCCTAGCTCAGCGGCTAGCAGCTAAATCGCCAGCTAGCAGAATAACATCGTGTTTTAAAGGGTTCAAAAAGAAAAGAGGCCATACTCACGTCACTATCGACTTCGATATCATCGTTATCACTCATTCTCCGACAGGAAGTTGTGATTTAAAGGAACGGGCGGCTAAAGAAGCAGCATGAAGCAGTTCAGCACCGAGCCTGACACACGACAGCTAGCAGCACAAACAGCTCACGTTCTGTTTGGACCGAACTGAGGGGGCTCCGCTGGCTCCACGTGACTACACTCCACACCAACAGCTGCTGCGTCAAAGTGCGCATGCGTGGTTTTACCAGGGCGTATGGGAAGTGTAGTCACAGCAGCTAGATTTAGCTTTTGTTTTTTAAGACAAACACGTACATATTTAAGGCGTTCGCCATGAAGAGTGATACAAAAACGTTTATTTATTAAATAGTTAGCTGATATTTTAATAATTAACGAGATTTAAATACGTAAAAGTGAAAACAACAATCATTTTAAAACTACAGTATCCGAAAGTCCTTTAGATTGGTTGTGACGTTCCAGCGTCCCTTTCGCTTGTGATGCATTCTGGGATTTGTAGTTTAGGCGGTAGTTTAATGTCAAAACAGCTAAAAAGCTCTGTGGCTGAGACACGTGGGATTCAAGACCAGATTCTTAGAGAGGAAATAACCAAGACAGAGATCTGCGTTTGTAAAAATAACACATTTTAAAAACGACGTAACGTATTTTAACTTTACATGTTAAAATAAAAATAATATATTTAAA